CCCCCTCGCCCCTCTTTATCCCCGGCCCCGCGCTCTTCCCTGTCATTCATTTGTCACTTTCCCCGCTCCCATTTTTTTTCCCCTCGCCCCTTCTCCCCCTCGTTCCTCCGTTGTTTTCTCTTCTGCCCCGTCCCTTTCTCTTCCTCCATCTATTTTTATCTTTTTTTTCGTCCCCTTCGCCCTCCCCCTCCTTATCCTCGCCCTCCTCTCCTCACTCCTTCCGTCCCTCTTCACTTTTCCTGGGTGCTCGTGTGTGTTTCAGGCCTTCAAGGAAAAGTTGCAAACTCCCAAGTTTTTTTTGCTATATTTGAGGGAGCAGGTGTCGGAAAGGAGGGAGCTATGTAGGAGGTGCCTGGGCGCGCAGGGAGCTTTCGAGGAGATAAATGGAGAGGATGTGGGAATGGAAGGGGTAGACCTGTCAGTCCTCTCAGGGTGTTCCAGGGGAGAGACTCCAAATCCTCCTTCTGGAGGGAAGGGGGATTGATCGCTGTATTTCTATTTTTATTTAAAAAAAAAAAAAAAGTGAAGAAAAAAACCCCAAGCAACACCCAACCCAGTTGCCCAAGGATGGAGTTTCAGTAGCCGACCACAGCTGGACTCTTGGGGGAAGAGGGTTCGTGCACTCTGGCTCACGCACACATGAAGAGATTCTCCAAATTGTTTGGCTTCACCAAGAGATAAGGCCAGTTGAGCTCAATGTTTTTCAAGGTGGGCCGTGTATGATGAAGCCCAACTTCTTTTAAAGTGTAGCAGATTTCATTTTTATGGCCAAATGACAGCTTGACCCAGTTGTTATCCAATCAAAGGGCATTTTTTTGAATGTCTCTTTGTGGCACAACAGCCAACGCAAAAATGATGGCGGCTTACAATGGCGGTACGTCTGCGGCAGCAGCAGGTCACCACCACCACCATCACCACCACCTTCCTCACCTCCCTCCTCCTCACCTCCATCACCACCACCACCCTCAACATCACTTGCATCCAGGCTCTGCAGCTGCGGTACATCCCGTACAGCAGCATGCCTCTTCGGCAGCTGCGGCCGCGGCAGCTGCGGCCGCGGCCGCGGCAATGTTAAACCCAGGGCAGCAGCAGCCATATTTCCCATCACCGGCACCGGGTCAGGCCCCTGGACCAGCTGCAGCAGCCCCAGCTCAGGTACAAGCTGCAGCAGCTGCTGCAGTTAAAGCGCACCATCATCAGCACTCACAACATCCACAACAGCAACTGGATATTGAGCCGGACAGACCTATTGGATATGGAGCCTTTGGTGTTGTCTGGTGAGTAAAGAAAAAAACCTAAACCGATTTTTCCTTTTCATTTTTTTACCAGATCATAATTCATTCTTGGTTTTGTCATTTGAATCCAAGAAAGCTGCTTACTACAAATTTTTTTTGCTGGTTCTTCTCTGTTCTTAGAAAGTTGGCTTCACTTGTTTTGGTTGGCAGAATGAGGTTTAGAGTGGTGAAGAGCAACCTCTGACTAACAGGCCACACCATCAGTCTCTTTTGAGACAAATGCAACATGTTTATATACCTTCTTAGTCATTTTATTAGAATATGCATGTTGTGTAGCTAAGCTCTGCTTCCTAAAGTTTCAGGTTAACAAATGAGCGTTAGCATATATGTTTTGACCTGACCTAAGAGTTAGAAATTCAAAGCGTATGAAAATGTCTTCCTTTTGCAGTCACCTGCCAAGATCTTTGTCTAGGAGACTGTTTGACCTGCACTAGTATGCTGTATGCTACCCGAAACAGAGTATCTGAACTTTGCTCTCCTCTCATAAACGTAAATGGGATTTTCTGCCTTACTGTAGTACTGCCTACAGTCCTTTTATTCTCCCAGCCACTATTCCAGAGGACTTTGTCAGCGAAGCATAATCTCTTCTAATATATTTTGTGATCGCCTTAATATAATGTGTGTAATTATTGCTCTTCAGGATCACTGAAGCAAAACTGGCATGATTTTTTATTTTTTTATTTTTTTAATAACCAGTTGTCAGTTAACCGTATTCTGAAACGTTCATTAGAAACATGAAAGGTGCCTTGGTGGTGTTTTTGAAAGCAAGTGCGTTGCAGCACACTTCCTGTATCACAAATACAAAGTTTGAAGTGTGTAACTGTGTCGCGTCCCTACGCAACTTTCTGCAGCATTCAGCTGACAAGACTTGCCGCGGTGCTTCAGGAGTTTTGCTTTAGGTACTGCCCGTACTTTACTTTTACCGAGAGAGGAGTATTGTGTGATGGGGTTGCAGTCTGTGCCTGCGCGTGGTGGCAAAGCGCTTTGCAGGACTGGCCTAAGAAGAGCAAAACACTCTATTCCTTCGTCCCAGCCCTTAAAGTTGATCACTCATAACCAAACCGGTGTGTTTAATAAAATTGTGTTTTCTAAGACGGCTGAACAAGCTGCACAAACTAGACGTAAGTTAATGCTAATAGCTGATCTTGTGTCCCTTAATTCAGAAGGCCTAGGGAGTTCATTTAAATGCTAAGTTTTCAGAGTCGGAGGGGTGCTGTGGTACAGTTAGCACTGCTGTTCTTGCTATGATATGGTATAAAAACCAATGAAAACTGACAAGAAATCTGCTGTAAAAAATTATCTAAAGATGATTTCCATCTGTTCATATATTTTTGATAAAGTGTAGAGTTTTTTTAACTTAATTGTTACAGGCTTGCTTAAATTTAGATTGTTACGTAAGATCAGGCCTTGTTATCGTTTCTACAAGCATTTTGTTTACCTGTGTATATTTCCTAGGTCTTTGTTTTCTCAGTTTTATTTGCAAAAAAAATAAGGTGCAGAGAGAGATCTGCTTTCATAATATTCAGTAGAATAAAAGGTCAAGCTTGCATATTTAAATATAATATCATTAAGAACACTGAGGGGAAAAAAAAAAGCGTAGAAAGAAGAAGAGTCTGCTCTTGGCTGACACCAGGTAGAACGGTGCCAAAAGTGTCCGACCATCCCGAGACCCCTGATCGTGCAACTGCATCCACACAGGCAGGAATCGCCACTAGTGGGACTGTGCTTGCAAAGTTGTAACTACAGCTTTTACTTCTAGATGACAACAGCTTAAAAAAAATAAAAAATAGAGGGTGTTAAATAAAATAAAAGCAGAAGCTTGGAGGTCAGATCTCCTTTGGCAGAGCTGTAAGGCTACGCAGGCTGAGAGTGTAATTGGCTGAAATTCAGTTCCTCTTTGCTCACATATATTTGAATTCAGTGATCGCTGTTAGGCTCTTGGCATTGCATATTATCTTCTGCAAGTGAATGTGAGTCTGTAAGCAATAATTAAACTGAATTTTAGATTTCATTCAAAACATGAAAGAATGCCCGTGTAATTTAATTTCAGCCATGAGAGATAATAGAACTGAACATAAACATGGATTTGGGTATTTATAGCTTAAGTTGACTTAGACGTGAAAAACGTATACTTTGGTACAAGCGTAACACAGAATTTTCAGTAATGTCAGGCCTAAGCTAATTTTGAATAAGGATTCTGTTGCTTAGATCTGTATCTCTTTCAGAGCATGTACTGGCACTGATAGATAACTGAAAAGTTCCTATCTGTACTTTTGAGGGAAATGGATGTTACTCTACAGACAGTTTGAGTACTTGAAGAAGTCGTCTTTCACCTTGCTACTCAGATGTGTCATAGCATTGTCTAGAAAGATACACGTTATCCTGCAGTTAAGTTTAGTCGTCAAATAAGTAATCAGTTGTGTGTGGTGTTGAGTTTCCCTTTAGCTTACAGAGAGAGATTTTGACTTGGCAGTTGAATTAGCATTTGTCGTTAGTTCATTTACCTGGTACTTTATGATGTTTTGGGGTAGCTAATGTGCTGCTGGAGTTTTTCACTCATGAAGAGCCAAAGTACCGTGCTTCAGCATTTTCATTATTAACTCACGAGTGCTTGTATTGCTGCCGCTAGTATTTGTGTACACAAGCTATATCCTTGCTCATCTAATCACCATTACGTTTTAAATTAGCTATCGTTGGCACGTCATCTCCTTTGACTACGTGTAGATTTTAAAGTGAACTTAACCCAAGCTGGCAAAGTAGCAAAGAATTTCTCAAACAATTGGCATTAAATTGCTATATTCATCCGTTTTCATTGTGCTTTTAACATAAAGACGTGCATATTAATGCCGTACCCAAGCTTGGTGTTTCTGAACTGTGGTGAAGGGGGGGGGGCATGCTGAAACAGGGAAAGATGCGTAGGAACCTTCCCCCAGGTTCTGCAGATTCGTTTAACCACACTCTAGTTTGGCAAATGGCCACGAACCAAGTTGCGTACCTAATTTGCTGAAAACAGAGCAATTTGCTCTTTAAATATTCACTGTTAACATGTTCTTCAAGTGTTGAAAAAAAAATCCGGATTTTAGTTTCAGTGACAAACTCTGTTTGGGCCCCATGGTTCAGACTGTATATCTGATTTTTGGAAGTCTTGTGTGTATTCTAAGAATAAGGAGCTGTCCTTTGCAGAAGTGCTCCCTGTTTTGCTGGGGAGACATGCTACTGCCATCTGGTGGGATTCATTAAAAAAAAAAAAAATTAAAAAAAAATATCTGATGAACCTCATCAGAATATCTGATGAAGTCTCATAGGTTTGGGAGTGAAGAGTGAAGCCTTAATACCTCTGCAAGAGGCGCTTGTGCTGTTTTCATGCAGGATTCCTAGACCGGAGAAGAGGAACTGCAACTTCTGTGGAGGTAGACAGGGAATAATTCCTTTGGTTGCTGGTTCCAGCTGTTAACACTGCTGCTGAAATTTTATGAAAATATCTTGTCGGTTGGGATATATCCACCCCTGTGGGATAAGAAACTATCACTCTATAAGGTGTGCGGGGACTGTATTTGTCTTATGTGCGTCTCAGATTTTGAAAAGTTATTGTCATTCATCAAAGATGGTGAAATCAAGCAATCTGTTTTATTATTATCATCACAACTATGTTAAAAGGTATCTCTGTGGGAAAGCTGTTACAAATGACAATAGAAAGAAGTATATTACTTTGTTTTTTAAGTCCTGATTTACACAATTTTAACTTGCAGCATGGTTTTTAATGTATTTGCTTCTAATACTTTCTGTTCAGAAAGTCAAACAGCAGTATAACGTTCCGAATAGTTTGGTTGTTGATGTTGAGGTAGGACATTATGTACAGGCTGCCATACCTTTTAAAGGCAGAAATAATTTAGCCTAAATCTACTGTTCATTCCTGGCCTTCAAAGGCCTGAAATCACTGAAGTCATTGCTAAATAAAAATCGAAATAATATTACATACAATTGCTTGTTGCCTGGACCCTGGAACTATTTTAAGAGGGTTTTATCACTATACTGATACTAAGCACTGCAGTAGGAAAGACGTTTCTAGGATAAACCGATAATCCCCTGTTACTTTAAAGGAGTGTGTCATGCTGAGCAAGTATGCAGTATAGATAATTTGCTTTGGACAAATTTGCTAGAATGTATATTAGGAAAAAAGAAAGATGTTTCAGCTTCAAAAAAGTATGAGTAACGGTAGGATAAGTTCCCCTTCTGATGTCTGATATTGCTGTGAACCATGATAATGTTTTGCATAGTTAATGCAAATAATAATGCAAAAATATAGTCTGGTAAGCATGAAAACTTTAGAAAAAAGTGAATTATGAAAACTTTTAAGACTTTTAGTGTGAGTTTTTTTGGTGGTTTTTTTTTTTTTTTCCCCCCTAAGCTAAAGCGGTTTGTATCCTGATCTTTTTCCAGTCCCTCAAAACTCACCTGTTAGTGGAAGACAGTACTTGAACATTAGGAAAGTGTCCTGTGTTAATTTATATTTAGATGGACAACTGTTTGCTTTGCCTTAAACTATTTCATCTGACATTTTGTATTAGTCTGAAATTACTTTTTTTGTGATTGATCAAAAAAAAATGCAAAAGGACTCTAAAGTTTATCCTCGAGCTCTCATTGTGAATGAGCCTGAGCATAAATGGAGAACTGTAAGCAGGAGGTGATGTCGCTGGTAGATGGAACAGAACATCCACCAGAATTGGATAAAGAGGCTCTGGAAGGAGTAATCCATGCCAAGAAGGTTATCTGGAGAGAAGATCCCTGCAGAACATTCCAACTAAGCAAATCCAAGGAGCCTTTTAAAGTACTGGTACTACAGCTGGCTACGATGCCATGACAGTACTAATCAAGAATATAACTCAGGGCTTTTTTTAAGAGTGAAAAACATCTACAGTATGATGTGTTGATTTTTGGTGTAGTGAAATTGGCTTTTAGTAATGGGCAACAAAAATGTTTAA